ATTATATTGTAGAATCGAGGAGCGATACCATAATGTTTGCAATAATTCAAAAAGGTCAAATGGCAGGATTGACTTAAAATTGTTTTCTTTGTCCGGCTGTAATCAGTGCATTGTTTGGCAATATTACTTCCATATTTTAATCGAAGTAATGAAGACCAAGATGGTGTGGCCTTTTGTGTGGTCGTGGTCTCTTTTCGCTTTATAGTATTTGTTTGACCTTGTTTTCATAAGATGGTCAGATTGGTATGAAGACTTAGAGGAACGCACCTAGTCCGTAGTCCATTGTCTGCATGATCATTTCCAAAGTTGAATCGTGGACGTGGTACGATCCCAAACGTTTTCGTTGTTTGGTCATATTGGTAGGAAGGCATAGAGGAAAGCACCTAGACCGGAGTCCACAGTATGCATGATAATTTTCAGAGTTGGACCGTGGACGTCGTACATTCCGCGAAATTTAGCCGGCATCATCAGTGAGCTTTGCCATTTGTAGCACTACACTGTAACCGTCAAAGACAAAAGTGAAGTCGATCCTTTGACCAATTGTCTGCTAAATTTGCCGTATCTCTCATTCTATCCTGGCCTATTCCCTAATCCTATATCCTCGTATCACCCCTTCACTATCACAATTTCTTATCTAAATGTGGCTTGGTGTGCCCTTTTTAGCGTATCTTATGAGAACTCTACAAACCCTATGCTGGCTTTCTTAACCCCTCACTCCGCAATCCTCTTCCCATAGGTCTTATCAGAGTCTCCCATTGGCCCCGTAGGATCTGCCTCCTACATCCCTGGTTCACGTATTTCACTCGAGCCCTGCCACCCTATCTGTACTATTCTCAACGTTATTTCCATCACTGTTTCAAGACTTTGATGGCACACATACTCCCGCCTTACTGAATAGGCTCCTAAAAATCAGGATTCTCATGCTAGATGGGATATTTACTTGAGCCTAAAGAGCCCGAGTAATTCGCATGGTCAAGCCTTTGCTTCATGGGCCACGGTAGGGCGGGAGCTGGATAAGAGGGCAAGAAGTAGATAAATGGGCCAGAACAGAAAGGAGTGATAGTTCAACTGTTTCGGCAAAACGTTCGACTTCAGTTGTTTCTGGTGGGTTTTCTAGCTTGGTGCGAAGAATGGCAAGACTGACTGATGATGCTGACTTCGATGCCGGCGAAACGTCTGGGAATGTACCAAGTCCACGTTCTGATGATGGCAATCATGATAACTACTATGATAGAGGATTTCGGACAAGGTGCGTTCAACTAAGTCGACCTGATAACAAGGCTAAGTTGCGAAAACTAGGTTAACCAACTTATATAAATCGAAAGGAGACTTTATCATACCGAGGACCACACCATCTTGTTCTTCATATCTTTGTATTTATTTTATCTTTGCATATTTTCTTTAATATTTTTTCGACTTCTCTTTGACTCATCAGATTTGCGGCAAGGCTTATTGATATTAAGCGTGGGCTAAAAACCAGAGCAAGTATTTTCAGATTCTACACGATTCATTACAAAGCACAGCACTTATGTTTTGTTTACTGAACAGCATTTTGCAGTGAAGCCGTTCTTCTATTTTTGCTTGTAGCAATCATCCTTTTGGCATACATTTTATTATAGACTGACTTTTCTTGCAAATCTGTGCACATATTTTACCATTATATTTTCACCTATTTTGAGACCTTAATTCAATTACTTAATCTGACGGGCTGTCCAAAAGTTGCGATCAGGGTTTCCTATCGTTGATCTCCGTTCCTTCCACATGTGTCCAGCTGCCCTCTCTACATGTGATTGTCAATTCTGCCTTGCTCAACAAGCTTCTCCGTATAACTGGCCGGTCGGGTCGTGTCCAACATCAGTTGTGCATGTTCATGCAATCAATACCGACGTGATAGGGCTTTTGTGGGGAGTAGGGGTGCAGATTATTTTCGAGATTGTCTTTCAGCTCAACCCTAGATGTTTATCGGGCCGACTAATTCCGCTGGCACCCGCATGCCATCCTCTGAGGAATTGTGAACCCTTACCACAATAAGAGAAGATGATAGGTTGCGGATGCATCATCTGCCTACAGGAAAGTTGTTATGCGCATTTGAGACATTTTATTGTTGTAGCTCTATCTTCTGTAGAGCTTAAGTTCCTCGTAATAAGTTAATTCTCAAGGTGAGTGTGTACATGCATACTCACGAATACCCAATGTGGCATGTAGAGGCAGAGGTCTTGAGCATTAACATAAAATTTTAAATTTACCTCATACCCTTGCTACCACTTTTACACTTACATTTTATTCTTCTATATATTCCGCTTTGCACTCAATGCACTTACGCTACTCTCTTATATCGATCCCCGAATACGACTATAATATTCTGCTTGTTGCTTATTAGTCAAAAGTACGTTTCTTATATGTCAATTGCATTGCCAAATCTTTCCCTTTTGCACTAAACTGGTTGAACTCAAGACATGGAAAATCTGAAGTGCTTGATCCTTGCTGTTTAAATGTTGAGCACATTTTTGGGATGCCTCTCATTTTACAAAGGCTCAATTAATTTTCCGTCTTGGCGCTCCATTCACTGCCTATGGCTAAGTATCTAAGAGAAAAATTAATGTTTGAAGAAAAATGTAGTTAATTTAACTAAGTTGGAAGAAAGTATCATCAATTTACGATTGGTGTAACAGTCTTTAATAGTTGATCTACTTAAAATTACTTAAATAAAATACTTATTCATAGATTATTCTAGGCACAGCTATTGGGACATGATAATAAAAAAAGTTAGACTTCGAGCTTTCCTCACTTTTGATGTGAATTTAAATAGACATGTCTCGCTAGCCACGCGACCCTTTAGTGCTGGGGCAAGGTGGAAAAATGGGTAACATCTTCCTCTGAACTCGCATCTTTCAAAGCAAATCTTGTTTTCGCTTTGTCCTGAGCTGATTAAACATCACGATTTTGAAGTATAAACTGACCAAAAATGCTTCTCTATCCCACTAAAATAATTGTTTTTATTTCTCTATTGTGACGTTGAATGAAGTTCTGATTTTTGTGCGCTCCTAGACATCGAGTTTCATGGACGATTCAACTAAACTAGTAGCTAGTTGTTTCTCCTGCTCAATCATTCGTTTAAGAATAGCCTCCTTTAATTAAGCCAGGCACAACTGATAAATGGGGCACGTTTAAGTATGTAAAAAGCAAAAAATAATGTATCTATTGTTACTGAATAGACAGCAATTTCTTTTAATAGTTGTTTGACCTTGTTTTCGCAACTTGATCAAATTGGCAGGAAGGCCTAGACGAACACACCTTGTTTGGAGCCCAGAGTATGCATGATATTCTCCAGAGTCGGACTATGGACTTGATACATTCCCAGACGTTTTGCCGGCATCGTAGTCGGTATATTCAGTGAGTCTTTGATGAATTGTAGCTAGGTCCTCAGAATGGCAAGTATCACTGACAATCCCGGCGAAACGTCTGGGAATGTACCACGTCCACGGTCCTACTCTGAAAATGATCATGCACACTATGGACTTCGGACAAGATGCGTTCCTCTAGGTCTTCCTGTCAATATGATCAAGTTGCGAAAAGGTCAAACAACTACTATACATCGAATGAAGACCGCGAACAATAAAGAGGCCACAACATCTTGGTCTTCGTATATACAGCAATTTCTTTTTCGTTCTTTACTAGGCTTTCAAGAGTAACAGTAAATCAGTTATATGAGATGTATTCATCCTATTCCGTTTAAGTTGATAAAGACCGGTCGTTTAATTTTTCCCACAATGCTATGAATAGAGCCGACGCCTGGCCTTGAAATCCATATTTTCCCTGTTACCAAACGCGACTAGTGGCAACGAGACGTAGTGGTTGACATGCCGAGATTACACTCTAAACTCTCATGCTTCGACTCCTGTTGGGGATATTGATAAGATATAGGCGGGATTGAAATTGCAGTCCACTCTGGACGAGAACACTTTTTTGGGAAGGAAAGTCTTTTGAAATTTAATTGAAATGTCAGCTCTACTCATATCATTGTAGGAAAATTCAACTATCGCTACTTCATCACGCTATACGAAATAGGGTGACTACATCTCATATAAAATAACAGATTTTGTATATGACCTGTGTGTCTCCACTATATATTTTGTTAGCTTAACTTCCTGTATCTTCCTTCATGCATTTTTATTGACCTTGCCTACCGTCGAGCATCATTTTGCTTCATGACTTCCTTTGCAGTATTAAAAAAAATTTACATCCACTTTTGTTTAATTCGTATTGCCCTCGTCATCCATCAGCCTTACGTATTAGTCGAGCTCTAGCTTTTGCGCTAATCTGGATCATAACCCTAATATCCGTCCACTCCCACTTGTTTCATCCACTTTGGAAAACTGACTGCCACATCAATTCTTCTGTCACGGTTAGGCCACTATGATTTAGTCCATTCCTTCATGTCTGACTCAAGTTCTAATACAAGCATCAATCGTATTCATTGAGTAAGTTAATCTTTATTTATTAAATATAGGGCATTTTAAGGAACCTCCATTTCGAGTTCATTCTAATTCCTTTCGAAGGTGGTCAGCGAAAGGATGCATCACTATATCCCATTTGAGGTTATGATGAGATAGATAATGGTCTGCTAGGCAGTTTAGAGTGAATTTTATTTATATTAAATATATTCACCTTGTTTCTTTTAAGGTGATAAAGGGCCGATAGTAGAATTTCCCCACAATGATATGAATAGAGCTGACATTTCCATTGAATTTCACAAAGCCTTGCTTTCTCAAAAGTTGTTCTTATCCAGAGTGGACTGCCTTTTCCACCTCGCATAGGTCTTAACAACACCCCCAGCGGGAGTCGAACCGTGACAGTGTGGGAAAATTCTACCACCAGTCCTTCATCACCTTAACCGAAATAAGGTGAATACATCTGATATAACTGATTTACTGGTAGTTTCGAAACTCTACTTATATACGAGAATTTTACTTATATTGATTTAATTTTTGCAATATTTTTCGTTAACTATTTGTTTGGATAGATGCCATCAGATTATAGGCAATTCCCTTTCAGCTTGTTTTGCAATGAACCACCGAATTCTTCATTAAATATTGTAAAGAAAATAAAAATACCCTTCACATTAG